CCGCGAGGCTAGCGTCGCTCTCCACGGCTCGGCGCGCGATCGGGTCTTCGACCTAGCCCCGGTACCGGCATCGTAGCCTCGCGAGGCGGGCTCCGCAGTGAGGCCGCGCCGGCCGGCCCGGGGTTCCCGGCTTCCCCGGAACCCGAGGGATGAAGGGTGCCGGTGCGCGCCCTCCGCCCCGCGCGCGTTCCTGCCGCCGGCTCGTCGATGCCGCGGGAAAATCGCGCCGCGCGGGGTTATGGATTTTTTAAGGTTAGTGACGCAATCTGGGGTTTTCGGAGGCTTCGAGGGGATGCGAGAAGCCCCGGATCGTTTTACCCATCGATTGCAGTCTTCATAAATGTTGAGATTTGTAATTAAATTTTCAATACCCAAGTTTGGGGTATACGACGTTTCTCGACAGGAATTTTAGGGATTTTAGGGAAATATTTTTACAGCCTACACCGGAAAAAAAAGAAAAAACACATCGGACCTAGAGTCCAGACTCTTGAAAACATCGACAAGAAAAAATACTCCTGATTCAATCGGATTTTTGCTTAAATCAAGAACCAAGCCTCTTACTTTGAGCGGATTTCCTTTTGATTTAAGCAAAAATCTGACTGAATCAAGAGTATTTTTTTTTGTCAATGTTTTCACGAGTCTGGATTCTAGATCCAACGTGTTTTTTTTCCAGTGAATGTTGAGATTTTTAATTAAGTTTTTAATATCCAAGTTTGGGGAATACGACGTTTCCTGACAGGAACTTCAGGGACATCCTCAGATATTCGAGGGGTTTTTTTAAGTCAGATTTTTACAGCCTAAGTCTGTGAAGTAAAATAGGTGATTTCGTCTTTGAAGCGTTTATGTTCACCGACTAGGCCGGTCAACCGGCAAGCTTCGTGGACATTTTAAGGACCACAAAATTTGAGAAGATATTATGAAATATTCGTAGCCCGGTATTTTGCGAAACGTCGGAGAGTCATGGAAACCAGGAAAATCTCGATTAAATTTTACCGTCGCCATTTGAACTCCAAATCGCATCTCTCGATCTGGGAAGCCTCGACGGCATGCCGAGCGCTGCGACGCTCAGCGTGTTTTCTTTTTCGCGTACGATACGATTAACTTAACCGACGTTTTATTCGACCGGTCGGTTACCGTTGAAGATCAAAACGCGAGGGAGTCTCGCCCAAACTCGAAACGATGGAGTCGGGTTCTATTCCCGTAGCGCTGTTTTCCTTCGCGGCAACGCTCCGCGTCCAGTTTTCCTCGTTTTCGATGCTCGATGCCTCCGTTCGGTTGGTCGGTGGAAGCGCTCGAGCTCGCGGTTGGCGTCCTCCAAGCGAAGAGAGAACGAAGCGCGCTGCCGGTTGGAGTTCCCGCGGTCCTCCCGATGAGCTCCCGTGTTGCCGTCCTCTGTTCTTTCCCGTTGTCGGGAGGGTATAAGGTGGTCGACCGGCTTCTTGCCTGGCGAACGCCAGGTGAAATTCGGGGCATTTTTCAGAGCCTCGCAAGGCTCGAAGAGGAAATTCGCAAGGGAAACCCTTGAGAAACCGAGAATCCTCCGGGTTGACCCGTAAAACCCGCAAACAGGGTGTGCACTGAAAAGTGTCAGGAGGTACGATGTTATCAGGATAAGGAAATGGGTCAGTTGCGCTGGTCACAGAATTGTGATTTGATCTGGGTGTCCAGCATCAGGATTTGAGAATTTTCTGAAGTCACATTTGACCAATCTCTTCATTTCCCCAGTTCTAAGATGTTCGTTGCGAGCACCCCATTAATCGATCCAGTGGCGTGGCGTGAATGATCGATTATCGATATCTCGCCATTTGAAGCTATGGTAAAGAATCGATTACGAAGGTGTACCCTGATAATCGATATTTTTTGCGATTTTTATCGCAAAGCACGCCACGCCACTGAATCGATCCCTTTCCTTTGGTTTTAACGGCAGGTCAATCGATCCATCGCACTCCTCGGCACGCCACCGTAACTCACGAATTGTTTTCTCGCCGCTACCCGGAAATGAAGTATCTATCAAGTTGGCTTCAACGTATCGTAAGGCCCGGTTGCGAGGCGAAGCGTGAGTGGTCGATTATCGATATTTTCCCACGTGAAGCTATGGTTAAGAATCGATCACAAAGATAGTCGTTGCGAACACCGTGTTCATCGATCCTTCTCCATAGGTTTGAAAGGCGGATCGATCGATATATCGCAAAGCGCGTCCCGTCAATGGTCCACTTTCAGTGTAGGAGTCTCTGCGGTGTGGCGAACACTGGAGGGTTCCCAGTATCCCTCGGAAGTTGGCGTATCTTGATCGCGGGCTCGTCTGAATTTTCCGCGTTCGCGTTGGCGGAAGTGGTTGAAGTGCTTCGAGGAAAACCCGTGCGAATAACCGCGCGTCCGGCAAGTCGCAGCCACCCTCTCGGTTTCTACACCCCCCGCCGCGCGGCGGTTTTTCCCGCTAGTCTGCCCTGCGGGTCCATTGGAATCGTTATCGGATGATCCGGTTGAATTTTGCAGAAAGCGCCCAGAACTCAACATAATTGAAAGGCCAGGGTGTCTACAAGTCCAAAATTTCCGGTAATAGTACTCGTTTTTTGAGGACGGTCCGGAAGTACTGAAAAAGTGCGGAAATTCCGCGAGAAGAGCTGGAATTTTTTCATTTTCGTCGCAATTTGAGCGTGAAATTAAAATTTTTCGAATTTCGTCGCTCGGAAGTACTGACGAAGTACTGCATTTTTCTGTTGAGGGGGTACTGAATTTTTCGAGAATGCACTGAAAAAGTACTGTGAAAGTGCTGATTTTGACCAGCCGGAAGGCGTAAAATCCAAGCGATAGAAGTCAGGGAATTTGAAAACGAAAAAAAATGTGGGGACCCATATTTTTTAGCCACCGAGGGCTGGCCAACCCTTTCAACGGTTTTGACAGGGTTGTCGCGGCCAGGAAATACCGGGAAATGTGAGGGAATTCGTAAAAGTCGGGGAAGGTCTGGAAATGTCAGGGAAAATGACGAAAGCGTCAGGGAAAAAGTGTTAAGTCACCTGTGTTAGTTTCGAAGAATGGGTTTGACGCCTCAAACATCAGATTTTTTGTGGAAACTTTTTCAAATTATGCCACTTCAACCGTCTAGCGTATCTTCAATTGTCAGGGAATTTTACCGAAATGTGACAGGGAAATCAGGGAGATTGTCAGGGCGTTTCATGTTCTTAATTCCTTGGCAACCCTGTTCTGAATTATTATCTTATTCTTGGACAGTACAACCCGTGCCCCACGATCAAATGAACCTATCAAATACTCATCAAATGCAAGATGGCGACAGGTTTTCGCGCAAGTCCGCTATCAAATGTTAGCGGGCCGTCAAATGTTGATGAACCCGCCAGCTTGCATTTGATGAGTATTTGGACTGAGTTAAGCAAAAAGGAACCAACCCACATTTTGGAAAAAATTGAGTTATGAGTGGTTATGAACTCAACCTCTGCTCTACTATCTATCACCAAAAATTCAAATTTTTTGTTGGAGCAAAATTGCAGAAGTTGAACTTGAAGTTTATCTTTTACATTGAGTCTAATGCAGGAGTTAAACTTAAACCTCTTTTTCTCGGTTCGATCCCGATGTGGCTTGGCTCCTCTCTGTTTAACTCCGTACATTTGATAGGTTCATTCGATCGTGGGACACGGGCTCAAGCAACAATCGGAACAATCTAGATCGGCCGGCCGCGAGGCGCTGTCAGTGGATTTTTGGCGCGAAAACCCGGCTTACTCGACCATTCGCCTCGAGGTCGCTACAAAAAATTCCTTTTCCGGCCGAGGAGGAATTCGCCGGGTAGCCCACGCGGAGGGAATGCCCGAGTACTCTTCGGGGCCGGGCCTCCTCCCCCCTCGCCCCGGCGGCGGCGGCGGTTGCCGAGGAGGCAGATGGGGATCGGAGTCCTGAACCCGAACCGGGCGGTGGTGGTGGTGGGGGTGAAGCCGGCCGGCGTTGTTACTCACGTTACCGACGGAGGCCGCCGCCGCGCGTAAAAGTCGGCCCCGCCATCCGAGCCATCAATGGAGGGCCCCTGGAGTGGCCGCGTTGCCGAGTGGGCCCCGGCAACGGGAGGGCCCCTCGAGTCGCTGCGTTGCCGAGTGGGCCCCAGCGCTCTCCCGCCCAAATGGAAGGCCCCGGGAGTCGCTGCGTTGCCGAGTGGGCCCCAGCAACGGAGGGCCCCTGGAGTTGCTGCGTTGCCGAGTGGGCCCCGCCGCTTTCTGCTCTCCCGCCCAAACGGAAGGCCCCGGGATGCCGAGGGAACCTGCCCTAGCCTCGTGAAGGGCTGGATTCCCCATCTCGCCTCTCGGACATTGGGCCGTATTCTTAGTCCTTCCTTAAATAGCTCCCTTCCGTAAGGGTTACGTAGAGTCACTTTCAGTGTTCGAAACTCACCTTTGCCTTTTAGGAGCCATCTGACGCATCATGCCCGATTTTTAGACGCCATTGAATATTTTTTAGGGGCCTAATTGTTGCCTATATATTACGGCGCATTTAGTGACAAGTTAGACGCAAGATGTTTTCGTTACAGAAGTAGTAAGTAGCTGTAACTTGGAGAAGACAAAAGCGCAAAGAATGAAGTCGTGAAGAATAGAAAAAGCTTCCACTCATAATGTTGAAAATTTCGAACAATCACCTGATGTGAAATTTCAGATTTTTAAGGGGCAATTTTTAGGGGCCAAGTTGACGCAGAGCCTTCATTTTTTAGGCGCATTTGGTGCGTTGGCGCCTGTGAGTTTCGAACACTGGTCCCTTTATACTAAGAGTAAAGACAGTTGGAATCCATTTCTGATTGGTTCCCGTATTTTAGGCCTCGATTCAAGTCTCTAAACTTGAGCAGACTTCCTTTTGATGCTGGTTGAAATGACCTAAAGCTTAGTTTTACTCGCTTTTAGCTGAGTGATAATTCTTTTTTCAACTGAATATTTCGTTTGCATCTGAGGTTTATAAGTGAAGTATGGTCAGCAATTTACTAAGATTCTCTTTTTATTTTGTTACAGGAAAAAACAGAAGACGTCAAAAAACAGAAAAAGGAAGAAAATGGAGAAGAGGAAGAACTAGAGGGTGAAGAAGATGTGGAAGGCGAAGAAGAAGATGAGGAAGATGAAATCGCGGAAGGCGAAGACGACCTAGATGACGCCGAAGGTGGGTCTCATCATTATCGAATAACGAAAGACATTTTCATAAATTATGAGATCGTAAAGCGAACAGAATTATTCCATTGTCAAGATTGGGAAAATGTAACACGTAGTAGGGGTGTCAGCATGGAGAGGAAATAACTTTTTTTCTTAATTTTTTAGCTATGTTATGTTTTACAAGATAGCATGTTTTGTGGTGCCTTAATTCATACCTTGTCAAGGAGGGAATTGGTTTAGAGCGAGAAATTGGGTATATCTTAATGATGGACGGAATTTAAAAGTATTATTAGTTTCTTTTGGCTCCTACTAACTCATCCTTTGGGGGAAGGGAAACTCATGATAGTCAACCAGGAGCGTGTTCAGAATGAAGTAAATTATTGTCATGCCCTACTGATGGGTACTTTGTCTGTTGTGAAGGTCAGTTCCAATCTCTGTAATAAGATAAGGCGTGATCTATCATTTTCTTAATTGATAGAACTAGCTCATTCTTTATCAAACGTCTTGCTACTATGTAAGAGCTTAACCATTGAGAAATATGCGATGCCCCAGTTGCGAGATTTATTATCGCTTCATGATGCTATTGACATTACTTACTTTTTCTGATTAGTGAAAATAGTGACTTCTGCAAACTGTTTCTCCCTCAAGAGGGGATGAAGCATCATTCTTCTCTCGCATCCTTCCATTTCTGAGAGTAATGTTTGATAGCTTTGTACGGTGGCCTTAAGTTCTTGTTTTTTTGGATTAGAGGGGATTTTCGTTTTTTTCCTGCAGTTGCCTACTGATCATTTTGTCGCTCGCTTTTTTGTCGAAAACTTTGAAATTCTTTGCATAAGAAATGTTCTTTCAGATATACGAGAATATGATCTCTTGCATGAATGTTCTTGCCCTCTATGCAGGGTTGTCACAGTCATAGAATACTGGGAAAGGTCAGGGAAAATGACGAAAATGTCAGGGAAAAATCTTTAAGTCATCTTCAATTGCTTTCTCAAGCGGGTTCTGTCGTTTGGAACAACAAATTTTGCCTGAAAACTATTTCTAACTACTATTGTATTTTTAACAATCTGGCATTTGTTAAATTCTTAGGGAATTTTCTAAATGTGTGCAGGAAATGTCAAGGAATTTTATTTTCCGAATTTTGTGGCAACCCTGTCTGTGGAGCAAGTTCAGGGAAACGAAGGGAGCGCATGCTTCTAAGGGATAGTTTCCAAAACACTAGGGGAAATTGTCCATTGCTGTTGCTGAAAAATAAGACTGCTATACAGACGTTTTGCGGAGTGGCAGTCAGTAATTTGAGCTCTCTGATGGGTTCTGATACATACTGAATTTTTACTTCCTTGCCTACTAATAAGGGTCATCAAGATTCAGGGACAACTCAGGGAAAAAGACAGTTTGAAATTTGGAGGTACGCATGATGAACCTCCAGGATGTATGCATTAATGCCTCAACTTACTTTTATTTCTTGCTAAGTACCCATGGTATCAATTGTGAAAACTACATTCTAGACCATGTGCAGACTATTTAAGTCTTGAATAGATGCAGCTATAGGCCAGAACTCACTTAATAGTGGTATCGTAGTCAATTATCTTCATTCTGATGGAAGAGCAATTCTTTTGTAGTCACTTGATCCTATTTTATACTAATATTTTCTTTTTGCTTGTTATTTGCAGAAGAAGAAGATGAGGAAGACGCAGATGGAGTAGATGATGAAGAAGACGATGCATAATGGAGTGATTTAAGTGCAACGGACTAAAAAATGTATAAATAATTGCCATGCCTGGCCGTCGACCTAGCCCCAGCAAGCAAGGCCTTTCCAGCTACTGGTGCTGGGTCGGCTTCAACTCAGGCATCCCTTTCTGTTTAAAAAGTTTATTTTAAAACTGTGGTTCTCAACAAAAAATTCAAATAGGGACTTAAGATTTCATTTTAATTTTTAATTTATTGACCCAAGGAAAACTCCAGTCCTGTCCACTCCTTCTGACCAAAACAAAGCGATGTCTTCAACGCCGTGGTTGCCTATTCCGTTGCGGTGGATCAACGATTTGTTCCTTCGGTGACTCAGGTTGTGCGGTTGCTACTCTACAGTTAGCGGTCTCCATCTGCAGTGGAATTCGCAATTATAGTGTTCTTGGCAGGACGTGGCGCACCAACCGTCGTCCTGTCCAGTGGGGATCTACCGGGAATCTGAAAATCGTTGTATTATATTAAAATAAGTGACGTCGTTGGTTTGGTTGACTCCAAGTTTTTGCCGGTAGAGAACCGCTCGAGACCATTGCTTTGTTCTCTTCTAAAATCAGTTTACTCCCCTCATCTCTGGATCTAGTTTACGATTGTCCTTTTCTCTTTTTTTACGTCATTCGAAAGTGTGTAAAATAGCGTAGTTTTTAAGTTCCCTCTACTTTATACTGTCCCTCCTTCTCCTCCCCTTTTTTAAAATTAAATTTGTGTTTGATGTATTTAGGGTTACATGTACAAATGTTGAGCTGTTTACTTATATTTTAAATCTGTAATTTTTCCTATTTTATGTCAGAATGTCCTCCGCCAGGTTTTTGTTTTCCTCTCATGATTTTCTTCCGTCAAATTTCGAAGATAATCTTGCGTTCCCTCATGATTCAGTGTAATTAAATTCAAATTATTGGCAATAATCAATCTTTTGTTGTAATCCGAATGAGCGTTGATCTTTCAATCCTGATTTTAGACATATTTTTTTTTCTTTTTTTAAGTGAATGTGAATGCGGAAGTATAAAATCAGGTTCTTTCTTATAATCATCTTTGAGTATATGATTTGGTCTTGTCCCCTTTTTTGTTTTGTTCCGGCTCCACAATCGTTTTATTTTACAATGTGACAATTTGCTTTGAAAGCATTAATCAGTTGCAGTTTTTTTTTTCTTTTTGTATCTTTAGTTGTGTAGTTATTTATTTTGTCTATTTTTAAATCAATACTCTTGTCAACACTTCAAGCCAGATTTCAAAGAAATGCAATCTCTTTTCGTTTTTTCTGAAAAAATAAAAAAAGCAGATGGTAACTCTCGATAATGTTCCAATAAGTGATATCATTTGGCAGAATTGCCAACCTATTAATTAATAATTAATAAAACCAATGCATTTTTTTTCCACTTCAATTCTTATCTTTTTTTACTCTATACATCCCTGTTCAATTTCATTCATTCCAAGCAGAAGGTTGTCGCCAGTCAGATTTATCTGGTTTTGTCGCACAAGTAGAAACTTCGGCAAATTTGCCAACCAATGCTGTTTTAACAGTTACTATTTTCTCAAATTTTGATCTAGTTTCAACTGGTTTAAACGTAAAAGAAGCAAGTCACATTTTCTCCTACCAATAACTCGAAGTCAAAGCATTTTCAGGATGTATAAATAGTCGTTGAGCTTAACTTTTTTCATGGTGTCTAACAAAGACACTCGCTTTTAACTTCTTTTGTTTCTGTTCCATCTTGATGGGACTTGCTTCTTTTCTGATTAAATAGGGCCAGATTCACTGCCCAAGTTTCAACTGGCTATGATCTCTGTTATTCCACAAATTACACATTTGTCAGCATTAAAAATGAATGAAGTAACCTCTCAATTAAATCCAATTGCATCACAGTGATAATATTATTCATTTATCAAGCAGAACTTAGTTGTGAAAAGGACACTTCCTAGTATAAGCAAGGCTTATCCTTAGCAGGATAAAGAATGCTTTTTATGTGATACGAAGGCTAATTATTCCTCCAAATTTAACGGCATATTCTGCAAGTTCTCTAGTTAAATTATTTATCAGTCTTGTAATAAACTGAATTGTTTATAGTGTCTCTGAAAATGTATTTAGGGGAAGTGCCCTTTTTGCACTGTAGTTGGTAATTAAAAGAAGCCAAGAAGGAAAAGGGTTCTCAAACATTCAGTCACATGGGAAATCTTGCAAGTCTAGTCTTTCTGTTGGTTAAGACATTTTTACGGCTAGTCTTGTCACACCATCTTAGCAATTAGAGGGCTATCTCGAAGGACTTGCAAATCTTATCCTCAGAAACTTCCTGGCGTACTGCTCAATTCTCCAGTCAAAAATCTCACTTAGGAAAGAATTCGAACACGAACACACAGAGAACAACCAACTTGTGAACAATATTATTTCATTACACAACGTTCGTATTAAGAAGAGGGAGTAGAGGCTATACTTAATTTTAAATCTGAATGTGACGAACTTCGGCAATTTCAAAAAAACTTCCAAATGCATGAGAAGTATTTTTGGAATCAGCATAGCCTAACTCACCGCCACCCCCCACAAAGCAGTTATCAATCTCTCGTTATTAGTTATTGGATGGCTTTTTCTGAAACACTGAATCTCCTCATTCTAGCCTTGTTATTACGTAAATATTGAAAAAATTAAGGAACTTACGGAAAAAATTAAGCACTTGGTACTGAACAGTAATAATAGACGAACATTAAAAAAAATGTTTAAGGTGACTTAAGTCTTTTCAGTACCCTGAAAGAACACCCTCTGAAGTAAACATTAACCATCCTATCACCGATACGATATAATTCAGTGCAGAGTACATAGGGTGATTTTGAAGTAAATCCTCAAACTTTAGTAGTGGTACCCTCACAAAGGCTCTTCCTGGAAACATTTTTCATTGTGCACCATCTCTCCTGAGTCGCAGACCTCCAAAGTTACTGAGAAAGTAAGTAAATTTATTTCCTTTCTTCATTACGATTTTGGATATCAGTGCAGGTAGGTATTAGTATTAGGTAATCAATGACCCCTCATCATTAACCCTAGGGGATCATTAACCCTTGGTGACGAAAAGCTTCATTTTAGATTCCACGAAGGAGTAGGTAGAGGGGTTTTTAGGAGATGAAAGTGGCACTGATAGTAGCCAGAAGTAATGTCTCGAGTGCCCCAAAAAATTAGATACTCCACATTCAGGTCGTCCAGTGTCAGGATCTTCCCGATTTTATCAGGATTTGAGAAAAGTTGGCTGTCCGATCGGATTTTTCTGTGCGTTCGCATATATCATGTTCTCCACAAAAAATCAGATTTGGAAAAATTATGAAATCAGGATTTAGCAATCAAAAATTAGGAAAAACGAGGATTTCCCAAAATAAAAAAAAAAAAAAAAAAAAAAAAAAAAAAAACATTACGCCCCGTAATAGTTTTGATGATCCAAGATAAGTTCATCGCTGATAATGACCCATGGAAACTGAATTTCGTAAAACATAATGTATAAGAGTTGCCATTGTATTAGGAACTATGAAAACAGCTCCTGAAATTAGTGAGAATATAATGGAAGGGATAGTCATTTATATCAAGGGCACTGATTCAATCTCATCAGTAGTCGTATTGAATGTCACTGAGGCTCTGTGCCTGGAGAACGATAAGTATTGTAAAAATCGAAAAGTTTCAAGTACGGGGTACAGGGATGGTTGCCCGTAAAATTTGTGTGAACACACAAGTATCTATTCCACTGCAGGGCCGGATTTACTTACTTGCCGCCCCTGGGCCGCCTGTATTTTGCCGCCCCCTTCTCATTCGTTTTGAAACATCAATAAAAACCATCAAGTGAACATGCCGGAGGAGGAGGGGTGCATAAGACGCATTTACTCGGGTTGGACACATTTTTTGCGAAAGCCCGGTCAACACTACTAGCAAAAGTTTACGGAACTTGGCGCGAAAATTAAGTAATTCCGTAAACCTATCTCTATGTGGACAAGGCCTTCCATTCATATGAAATGAACGAAAAAATTATGGAAAAACAAATATAAATATGGTTTAATAATTTTAACTTCCGCTTCCGCGCTGACCTCACCGTGTTTGGCGCAATGCGTGAAGTATTCCTACAGTCTTGTATGCGCTATGCGTTTCACGCTGACCGCTGCTGCAGCTGTACGCATACTGTGTTTGGCGCAATGCGTGAAGTATTCACGCAGTCTTGTAGGCGCTATGCGTTTCACGCCGCTCACTGTTGCCCGCAGCGACCGCACTGTCTTTGACGCAATGCGTGAAGTATTCATGCAGCCTTGTAGGCGCTATTATGTGTTACATATGTACGCCGCACCGAGGGTTTCTCCTTTTCATCTCAAGTTCTCGTAATCATTGCTCTCTGCGCCGTAGGTACCATTCCAGGGCAAATTCCATGTTCGGTTAAGACGACAAAATTAGAGATATACTGTCAGGAAATGAGAGATTTTGTAATCTTTTCCCGTTTGTAATTTTTTTTCTGAATCCGATTTTTCTTTATGCCTACATTTAAAAAAATTGCAAAATCTGCCGCCATGGGCCGCGGCCCAAGTATCCGGCCATGTTCAACTGTAATTTCATCGCAGGAATACATAGTAGTGTGCCGCTAGCTACCACTCAAGGATGAGTCAATCATAATATGAAGGAGTGAGAAGTGAGTGAGGGGGCACCTGAAGTAGTCTGAAGTAGCGTTATCTCTTTGCTAGTTGTTACTCAACGAGCTTTAATTTCTATCAAGTTGTAAATTCCAATATTTACCTAGGTTTTGCTTTCGGCTAAGGAGGGGAGACTTTTACAGAGTGCCTAGTCTGAGTTTTGGTCCTTTTGAAACGGAAGGATCACATTATTTTTTACTCAATATGTTCGGATGAGCACTTTGAAACTCATGGAAAAGAAAAATGGAGGAGAAAACGAAGAAAAGCAGAAAAGAAAGAAAGAAAAGAAAGGTAGAGAACGTTTGCCCGCAATCCTGAAAATTCGCCGTCAATTTAAAAATTGGCGCCAATAAATTTCATGTTGTGCCCAAATCCGAGACAAAAACTCCTGAAGGCCAACAATAAATACTGAAATTGTTTGGGATTACTTTCCAGTTTTCCAGCGCCTTCGTTGTAAAAGAAATTACGCAGAAAAATTTAGAGTTCCACATTTGAACCATATTTCTACCCAACGGGTGGGTGAAATTTGTACTTTTCGAAAAAAGAAAGAATTTTTCCGGGATATTTCTGTTCATTTGTTTGAACTTTGTTGGCAGACATGTCGAATACATCTGTCATCACCTTGTGTTTTTTCAATGGATTGTCAAAGCTGTGCGGTCAAGTTTTACTTGTTTGTTTTTAACAATTTGATAGTTAATGTCGAGTCCTGAAACTGACGAAGCCACGGAGAGGACAACTTTGATGAGTTCAAGGGACATGGACGGCCATGTCAGCGAAAATAGAGATAGACCTGAGGGTACTGGAGATAGGATAGCTCATAGACCGAAACACCAGTCTCACAGGACTGGACAATCCGCTCATCCCTCAGCTTATCAGGATATCACCAGTTACGGCAGTACCTCCGTAAGTCACTCAATTTTCCAGTATCGTAGTTCTATTCAATGGGTGCAATCATGCATGAGGTCAGTATGCTCGTTGTTGGGCATCAGCGCAACTGATATCAGCTGTCATCGACAAAAATCCTGCCGATCGCTGGGTGGCACCCTCGCAACGTACGATTCATGTGGTTACAGTTTAGAACATACTTACCTAAGCTGTCCTCAGATGTAATGTCGAACACCTAACTACTGAGTCAGCTCATTGAAGTAAATAAACGATGAATCGCTCTCAAGTGAGGTTAGAGCTCGCGCATCGTATGTTGAGACAAATGTCAAAGGATTGTTTATGTCACCATTCACCAGTGGTGCCACCTGACTACATGTATTAACCTGTTGAGCGGTGCGAATTCGGAGCTAATCGGAGATTGACGTTTGTCTCAACATACGATGAGCGAGCTCTAGATTCCGCTTGGTACTCATCGCTGTAACAGTTTGCACTTTAAATTAATCGTATCTTACTTAGACTTCCCATAACAGAAGTCTAAGCAAAGTTTCTATATCGTTTGACAAATAAGTAAGTGTTCACCAGCACATAGAGTGTCAGAAGTATATCGGCATCATGGAACGTTTAAGTAAATTGATTTTGAGGTTAAACAGATTTTGTTTTTCGAGAAATACCAGTGAGTTGATCACTGAATCGGTATCAGATGATCCTGATTGGTAAATTCTTATCTTAGCAATGCATCTTATTGATCATGGTCTTTCATTATCGATTCAACAATCAAGCCGCAGGTTTTTTTTATCACGTTCCACAGGTGACAGGGGATTAATTGTGAGGATGAATCCCACCTTTAACTGAATTTCGATGGCGAAACTCCCAAACCATGTATCTTAGTTTGCGACGTTGTAGACTTTCTGTCATATATTATTTTGTTAATGGAGAAGTATGCAACGACAGCCCGGGGAAACTTTCAAGATTTTTTACCTTCTGGGTGAAACAAATTCTTGAAAAACTTCAGGGAATGGTATTGATTTGTTCTCTTTTAGAAAAATGAAATAGGAATGTAGATTTTCAAAGACCGCAAATGGGATACGTAGTTCGGTAGCTTCACCATGGATTTCTAAATCTGAAAAGGAGATTAGTCAAGTGTGGAATTCACGGAGGTAGAAGTCTAAACCAATCCAGTTTGTTCAAATTATTCAACAACCTGGGGGAAATACTGTCTGTGCTTACTTACATTTTCATTGATTATCTCCTCATTTTGCGCAATCCTGACCGCTTCTATTGTTATAGCTAACTTGTATCTTGTTTTTTCTCTGTGAATAATATCGTTCTGTATTAATTTTGCAGAGTAGAGCTGAGCCTCCCAACTCACCCCGTTCCGGTGGTGGGTCCTCAGAGATGGAATATGATGATGATGAAGAATTGAAGTATGGTGCTGAACACGTCATCAAATTGTTTGTTCCCGTCTCCCTGTGCATGCTTGTTGTTGTTGCAACAATAAGCTCAGTAACATTCTACACAATCAAAGATGTGTACTTGTAAGTTCTTGCTTTTCAAATACCACATTATCTTTATCAAAGACAATTGGAATATTCTTCATCGTGTGGGATTTGGTAGAACCGTTGAACACAAATTCAGATTTAAGATAGTAAGTAGCAAGTCTATGAAGAATAGAACAATACCTAATGTAATAACATGATCAATAAAGCTAATTTCTGTTGTAAATTTTCTACTTAGGTTATCACTTGCAGAATGTGCATTGACAAAGTCCCAGCTGATTCGGGTTTTATAAATTCATTTAACTTTCACAATTTAGATTTGAGGCTTCAAGAAAAGTTAGCAAAATACTATTTTTATCATCATATTTTTGCATCAACAGGAAACTTGGATGCCTAATTTTATTTTTGAAATAGATGTCAATGGATTCGTTTATTTTTAATGGGGCTTGAGCGTCAAAAACTATTGAGGTTTGGAAGTTAGGACATGCAGGGTAAACCAAGGTTGAGAAGCGTTTGTAAGTTGAGTCCCTATGAAAATAAAAATTTTACATCAAGATACCTAAAAGTCATTTAACCACAGCCTTTTGTTAGCTGCCTAGTGTATGAAGACTCATAGTCTGACTATCTAATATCATGTCTTTCAAAGTAAATAATTTCCCCAAGTGTTGGATTTTTTGTGTGTTATTCAGTGTTACGCATTCTTCCAATTTTTAATTTATTAATCAATCGTGCTTTTCATTGAATGTTTCAGAGTATATACGCCTTTCCACGAAACTAGTCAGGATACGTCAACGAAATTATGGAATGCATTTGCAAATGCAGCAATCTTAATCTCAGTCGTCATCCTCATGACAATTCTCCTTATAGTTTTGTATAAGAATCGTTACTACAAGGTACGGCTCATAATCAGTTTTCTAGCTTTTAGCTCAAGCCTAACTAATGCCTAGCTAACCTAGAGGCTTACAGTCAGAGTCATAGCACCTGAAAATAAAGCTGTGCTTTCCATTGGTTGTAGGTATCCCTACAAAATCAGGACTGCTAACACTTTTAAATAAAGGGAGGAATGATTTTGAGGCTCCCACCTTTCTAGTTCCTACAATTTCATATCATAGACTTCTTGATATTATTATACATTTTTAAACTCCAACAAGTTTTAATGCTGATAAATATGTCTAAGTTCAGCCGAAGGTTTTCAGTACCTACACAACTTATTTCACAGACAAGCAAAATTAAAAAATCCCTAGTAAAATATGATACAATTTTCCCAACAAGCAGTTAATTTGCTTTATTTTTTTCAGATCATCCACGGTTGGTTGATTCTTTCATCTCTATTGCTCCTGTTCGTGTTTTTCTACTTGTACTTAAAGTAAGTGGTGATTCTGCTCTTTTTATCTACCTTTAGCACTATTGAAGAATCCTTATCGGAATACGTAACAAAGTAAGTCCCAAAAATAATTGACTCTCTTCTATAACATTGAAAATTGTATGCTAAATTATTTAAACCCTCTTAAAAACGCATAAGTAGAGTTTGAGAAGGAGCATTCAAGATTACTGCACAAAGATTGTGAAACTGCAAAAACGCGAACCTCGGTTTGAGACCCTGCAGTCTTCCAGGATTTATTTTTTAAATGGAATGATACTCAATTTCATTTCTTGAAAACTTCCCTGATTCTTCCTCTCCCTGTGAAAAATATCCTGTGATAATTTCAATCAACAGTGGGAGTTTGTTCTTTTCGATGAATAAAATGGAGGTTGAGGTGTTGAAACACGGCAAAGTAGAGATTAGTTTTGCAGTTTCATTGTCGTTATGCAAGGATGTTTGTAAGTTCTTCATTTAGTAAGAGGCGAGACTCGTGCAAAAAATGTATTAATCATTTATCCAAAGAAAGTTCCATTTGTTCAGTCAAAATTTTCCACCTTAAAGTAAAGAGTTTTATTAACGGAAATGTACAAACTTTTTAATAGTAAACTGCATACTTTTTTTTCAGGGAAGTCCTTAGAGCCTACAACATAGCAATGGACTACTTCACATTGTCGGTTATTTTGTGGAATTTTGGAGTGGTTGGTATGATTGCCATCCACTGGAAAGCACCATTGCGCTTACAGCAAATGTACTTGATCTTTGTAGCTGCATTGATGGCTCTCGTCTTCATCAAGTACTTGCCTGAGTGGACAACATGGACAGTATTAGGAGTGATATCCATATGGGGTGAGTTTGCTGCATGAGCACAAGCCTTTGAATCGGTTATTATTTGTGGCTGTTCAAGAAAAAAGAGACCTCAGCCTAGAAAACTCAAAATCGAGAAACCAACTCAGCACTAAATATTGTAAAAAATTACTCAATCCCAGGAGTTGGCTGAAATACATGCATACATACATAGCGCTCTCAGCGACACCTAACTGCCACAGGACCCTTCCTCCCCCTCAATTTGACAAAAATTGCTCTCTGAATAATATGCTTTTGTGTACTAAGGTCCATTTTCCTGTGGGCGGTGACATTTATTCTGAATTCTGTAATAACCCAGGACTTAACCGAAAAAACTCTTTTTTAGTGGTGTATAAAGTCTTCGTAATCAGTATCATCCATACTTTTAGCCTGAAGAGGAAAATGCCACTTTTTAAAATTTTATTTGAGTTTCAATTTTTTCAAAGTTTCAATAGTACTCTCTTGTCTCCGGTCATTTAATGTGAGGATGGTGAAGCAAGTGTGTCAATTTAATTTTTAAGAATAGTTGATTCAATTTATGAGTATTGATTCATGTTTGTGTCAATTTCAGATCTAGTAGCTGTTTTAATGCCTGGTGGTCCCCTCAGAATACTAGTCGAAACAGCGCAAGCAAGAAATGAGCAAATATTTCCAGCTTTAATATATTCTTGTGAGTATGCTTTTTCCTAAGATTACCCCCATTATCTCATTAATCACTAAAATTTTACTTTTTCAGGTACATTTTTAAGTGGAAAATTCCTCTCCCACGCTATTATGTTATACCTAATTGAGGGTGTCTCCTGAAAATGGGCTAACAGTCAAGATAAAATTTAAATTAAATTTATAAGCAAGTTAGATAATTGTATGAACAGAGTGTATACAACCTTGAAAAGTTATTGAATTTTATCGATTTTCCCCTGATTTTCAATACCTCTAAGACATTTCGATTTTTGGGAGAAGTTTCAAAAATACTGAAACCTGGAACTTTCAAATCTCCATGATCAGACCCAAGTATATCATTCTTTATTCTGAACTTTAATTCGTACTGAAATACTAAAAAAGTGCATCTTTATGGCCTAAATTCTTCATTATTTTACACTGACAAATTTGAATGTATCTTATTTCCTCCTAATGCTTCCAGCAACTGTCATTTACCAAACGGTAACGATGGCAAAGTTGGAAACAACATCGGAAGGTAGAACGCGGTCACATTCCCTAGCATCAAACAATCCATCTTCATCAGGCCCTGCTTCGCCTCACACAGCTAGTCCAGGTACGCCAATTCTTTGCTACGATTGTTAAATTTTCCTATGTGCAAGTAGTTCTCTATAAGCCTTCAACTGTCTGATCTAGAAAAACTGAGGAGAGTGTATTTAAAAAGCTTAAAATATACTGGACAAGTTTGCGCAAACTGCAACTCATCATTATTTTATCCTTTGCAGTACTATTTTCACTTTTTAGGTTTCTTTCAGTTCCAAGCACATCTGATGGCCGAAAATGAATGCATAGTACCTTGGGAACTGCTCTTTTGACAACATAGGGGCCTGCATGTCTGTGTGGTCCTAACCAGCAAGCTGATCATTGATATTTTGTGTTTTTCAGGCGGACATAGATGATATAGGTTAAATGGCGTAGTATGATTGGTCGTCTATGTTTTATCGTTGCTTTGTCGTGCCTAGGTCGGGTAGAATTGACTGCATGCTAACGGGAACTTGAGAGATGCTTTTAGCTTGTCGTCAATTCCACGTTTTCTTCGAAATTTCAATAATCAGCTTGACGGCTATGCAAAACCTTTCCTTTGACACTCAACTGCAGGTTTTCAATGTTCTCAGTATCATACAGTTTGTTTCCAACCATCAACCACACTTAAAACTGAAAGTACACAAAGCCAAACAGTGAAAGAAGTGTTTCACATAGTGAAAAATGGTTTCATTTAAGTTCTATAATTTAAAGTCAGGTTCTCAACAAGGAAACGTGTGTAGCTACAGCAACTTGCTAACACCAGAAGTATGATGCTTTTTTTCAGCTGGAGACCCTGCAAGTAAAGAAGATTTAAATTGCATTCAGATGCAAATCCATTAATCTAATTTTGGCTTGCTTATAAGCATAAGCTTCCTTAGAATCAATATCTGTTGAAAATTAGATGATTTTTGTGGAACTGGCAAATATGGTGCGCAGACTTATTGAATCCCTTTGAATAATGGGGCTTTTACCCTTGATAGCAATCCAGCCCTCCTATTTTTAATGCAAAGAAATGTATAATAAATATCTGAACTGCATTTCTAAGGTAATTCTGGAGTTTTGATTTTTCATTCGTTAAAGTAACTAAAAATTCCAAGAATTGTTGAGTTAATTTTTTTTACTTTGCTTTTTAGGTGATGGCCAAGCAGGGTTTACTCGAGAGTGGTCTGAAGCTCATGCACAGAATGCTTCAGATGTACCAAACGTAGTAGTCCCTCCACGTCCTCTTGATGATGATGATGAAGAAGAGCGTAAGTCTCCCTTCTTTTAATGGTTCCCTGGACGATGTACTATTCTTTCTTTATAAATAATAAACGGTGCATCAAAAAGAAACTTAATATGTGGGTAATGTTCCAGAATCTTTATCAAACTATCCCTCAACAAAGGAGGTATTTAAAATCAATAAGTTTAGTTTTAATCTATCAACTTCTGGATTTTGTATTTTTTGCCCACATTAAAATTTTATGTTTTTTTTCATAGTACTATTTTTTTCATACCTATTTTTATATTTTTTTCAAAATTAACTTTTTTTTGTTTTAGGAGGAGTGAAACTTGGGTTAGGAGATTTTATTTTCTACAGTGTTCTGGTCGGCAAAGCATCCTCTTACGGAGATTGGAACACAACAATTGCTTGTTTTGTAGCAATTTTAATCGTAAGTATTTTTTTATCTTCCTTTGGAGCTCGGCTAGTGATCAAATATCTTTCATTTTTATGAAGAGATAAATTTTATTCTCTTCTTTCATTTATAACTTTCGTAGTTTGTGTACACCACCACTCATCAAATGTGTATACTGATGAATACTTAAGTAATATCTGATCTTGAATCTTGATAGCCAATAGGCGTTTACTTATGTTGGTTGTGCTATAATTGAATCAGTCTTAAATATGAGGTGTCATTTGAAAAAATATCGCAATTTTTTAATTCATATTTTTTGTCTTCTTTCAGGGGCTGTGTCTAACGCTTCTACTTTTAGCAATTTTCAAGAAAGCACTGCCAGCTTTGCCTATCTCAATTACGTTTGGACTAGTCTTCTATTTTGCAACGAGGGAGATTGTGAAGCCATTTGCTGATCTTCTGTCTACAGAGCAAGTGTTTATATAGTGAACGCCTGACCTCATAATTTCCAACAGAAGGTATATAAATGATGTGATAACCTATAAAATTAAATTAATTGATTTCTAATATTGATTTTCTAAAATGATTTCTAATATTGTATTGCGCTCATGATCTACTGTGGCTGTCCTTGAAAGCTCAACAGTTCCTTGCACTCAAGAACTAAAATAGTAACCAGTTAAACCATGGCTTAATTTGACTTTGGATTTTTTGTCTAAAAATGTTAGTAAAATACTCCGCAACTTCCTAATATCAATCACTTAATTTTGAGTTGGTTAATTTTTTGTGACTGTAGTCTCCTCTCCTGCGGGCATTCACATTAATGTTTTTTGCATAAAAATTCAACACTAAGTGCTCTAGGTGCTTTGGAAATTTCACAAGCTACCCAGGAACAAGGAGTTGCAGATAGCGTTCAGAAACTTGTACTACCTCAAATTAATGGAAGGTGTGAAGACCTGCCCAAACTCATGAAGTGCTAGGCAGGGCCGCAAATATTTTTGAATGATTGCTCCTTTATGTATAGAGTAGGATCAACATTGACTGATACATAAAAAAGTGTGAGAGAATGATTTTTCCTTGAAGCTCAAGTATTGAAATTAATTTTATGTAGTCAATGAATTGTACAGTCAATTTTTCTATTTATTTTTATCTTTTATGCGTCCGTTGAAGTGAGCATACCTGCGTAGTGCTGTTCTTTTTTATTTTACTCTTTGAAAAGTCAAGTATACATCGATTAATGTCTTTGATAGCTCTATATTTTGTCAAAAACCATGATAGTCAGCTCATAGAAAGTCTTAAGGTACAATCAGTCCTTAAGTTGCCCAAGCCGTCCAAGTTGGTACCTGAGGGCAGTATGACAACCCATCAAAGGAACTCCTTAGGGTTTCGTTTTACATTTAGTTTTACCGTCTTCAGTCCCTGATTTATGAGGAGAACTTACTAGCCTTAAGTACCGCACCTTTAAGATAAGGTATATTAGGCAAGCAAAATGGCGACCGAAGGCTGCTTACGGATGAGAGAAACCCCAAATTTCCTGCGGCAAACTGTTTTGCTGCCCTCAGTCGCCAATGTCCGCCGCAGGCTTCTGTGCTTAAAGTGGTGCACCCTTATAGTGCCATTAATAGTTAGAACTGATCCAGAATCTGAAATCTTCGTTTTTCTGTACTTTTCTAACCAAAGATCCTACACTTTATTTTTGATTGACATTCCATTCCAACTCAAGTTTTTTGCCATGGGAGCACCGTTGCAAAATGATATTGATTCCAACTACCGTACTTTGTAAATGAAATTGAACAAGGTTTTTTGAATGATCTCAGTCTATTAGAAGCTTTAGAGATCACATGAAAATATCGTTGATAAAACTAAAAAAAACGCTCGTATCTTTATCATTTTGCAAAGTTACTAATCTTTCATCACATTCTATTTTATGGAAACAAGATTATATTAATCACTATTTTTTTTTGCAAAACTGTGCCTATTTTTGTAGATTCACCTACAACACTAGAAGCTTTACGCAAAGATTGATTGGTTTCCTTTAAAAAAAACCAAAAACAGAACCCCAATATATAGAAAGTTAGCAATCAATGAACCTCTGTATTTTTGTAGTTTTATCACCGATATGATTCATCATGCATTGATAATGAAAAAAATGTAAAATTATATGTAATGAATTCCTAACAATGTGATCGCAGCAAAGTAATTGCTTATCTTCAAGCGCTAAAGGCCGCATTGTACTTTCAGGAAGTCAATTCCCAATTACAGTATGTAATGCCCTCCAAGCCAGATTTTTAAGACTTAAAGAAATAAAAATCTGATCCAAAGGACGATTTTCGAGACTTGTCAGTATTTTTTTCAATCCTCATTTGGAGAAAGAATATGAGTGGATGAAGTCGGTCAATTCATTTTTTCTCAAATTGTTTAAATGGTGGAACTCTTTATCGACTTAATTTGTAATTTAACACTTTTAAAGCATTTTTCAATTGTAAATACCTAATTCCATTACTTTAATTTCCTGAAATTGGAATGAATTTGTAAATACTTTTGTTAATACAGTCTCTTCTTTTTCAAGAACTGTTTAATTTATTTGTTTGTTTTGTAATGAAGATAAGCAGTCCCAGATTTTAAGAATATTGTGCCTACTTCTGTCTCTAACAGTTTCCTAATCATTCAGCTCTTTTTTACCCGAAACTGGTAAACCCTTTTATCTTTTTTAGTCGAAGAAGTCTAATCTTTAACATTTTAAAACCATCTCTCACATTAACATGGAGCAATAGCCAAAATAAATGGACTACATTTTGCAATAACCACCTTCTCTGGTTCATATACAAAAGCACACATTTGCTCAGTGAAACTATTGGTATGTTGTTTCTAAAATGAGCTAGAAATAGTAGTTCCTTATGAAAAAATGCAGTCCATTTATTAGGAAAAATTTAAAATAGTGTTAAGTGAGAAATACAAGTGAAGATCCAAGACTTATCAATCTCGGGTAAAAAAACTAAGTTCCAAGTCAGGATCAAAGGGTTCCAAATATTATTCCACTAATAAATTGATGACTCTTAATTCTAAGTATTCTTCAAAGGTACTTCAATGATTCTATGAAAAGTTTTGGAGAACCAGACGTAAGTCCAGCCTCCGGCTGTTTCTTTAAACGCAGATACTACTAAGGAGGAAATATTTCAATGGAAGACGGATGTATTCAAAACAAAACCAATTTTTCTTTATCAGACTTTTTTCAAAATTCAAAAACAGTTTTTCCAAATATTACATGTTTCAAAGGAATAAAAAGGGTTGAAAAATAAATAAAAAAATAAATGCATTAAATTCTGTTGCACTTGCTGACAACTTTTCATTTTTCTTTAAAAGTTATAAAAATAATAATAAAAAAAACAAACAATTACATAATAATACATAACATTATACAGAGAATCCATACTTATTCTTGACAGAGAATATTTTAGCGTCTGATACAGACTCACTTTCCTGATTATAAAATTGAAATTGGTCAATTTTAATCTTGCTGATATAAAAAACTTTAGACACAGGTAGATGCGTAGCAACAGTGTCATTTTAAAAATTTGTATACTGGATACATGGGCGGTTATGCACACAGATTTTAAGATAGGAGGGTACATCAAAATAATAACAAGAATTTAGCGGATAAATTTATGGACAAAAACAGAAACTTACGGTGGCCTAAGAGTCAAAGATAACTGATAAGTAGTTAGTTACACATCGGAAATAAAGCAGAGCAACCGATAGTAATTGAAAATAGTACACTTACAATGAGTAGTTTCATGTTTCTGTTCTGTTATGTGTCAGTTCGTCTGCTTCCGAATAGAATATCACAAAAACCATGCTATGTTGCCAACTTTGCCCTGACACTTTAATTTTTTAGCTGGAAAATTTGACAGATTTGCTCGAAAACTTCGCCAAATTTTATTGACAGTGTAAAGAAACTTCAGTGAAAATTTCTGAAGAATAGGTCCTGCACTCCTGCAGTATTCCTCAAAAATAAAAATAAATGTGTTGAGGGGGAAACTCTGAAAGCTGATAGATGTGTATTCTTGCCGGAAGAACATGCGTGCCGTGGAATCTAGTTTTCAATAATAAAACCTTAACAATAAGCAGGAAGTAAAATCCGCCAGAACATCAGGTTTCTAAATCCAAGTTAAACAGAGTTGAGAATCATGTGGAATATGATTGATTTTATCACCTATTGCGATAGTGGGCACTAAAGTTTCTTGCATGTTAGTCTTGTCAATCAACAACGAATAAAAGTAACTCTGGTTCGATCAAGCAAATTACTGTCGGAACAAAGGTATCGTGAAAGAAATTTTAAGTGCAATGTCTCTTAATGTGTTCTTCAAAGGGTAAAATCTCAATTGTTAGGGTCTAGAAATTTGGTGTTTACGTGGGTCTCAAGATTTTCAACTTTGCTATAAAATTCGACCGCGACTTGATTCTATGACAGTTAAAACTGACTCATTCTTAGATAAACAACGGTCACTAACTTGAAATTAAGCTGAGGTTTGAGAAAAAGGGAGGAAAAATAACTTTACAAGACTTTCAAAACATCTTGGGAACATGCTCTAACCTTATCGATACCTGGCCTATTGTCCGAGTTGCTATTTTGACTGATTTGTTCTATTGCGTTTTTAATATCAGGCATTACCATAACTTTAAGCAAAGGAGCGGAGGATAAGATTGTTCCTACAGCAACGAGAGCTCTGAAGATTGCTTCAGGATCCAATAGCTTGGGTAAAATACCAGAGAGCACTTGAAGAGTATTGGCTAAGTCATCTTTACTACCCTGCTGAGTGAATATTATGGCTAGATTTAACAATATTGTCACAGCAGCTACCTGCAAGATGGAACAAAAATTACATTGAAAAAGTTATCCCTTTGAACACAGACAAGTTTAAAAATTTAGAATTTAATCATATTATTTTCCCCTTAAGATGGAATTTTTTTTTTAAAATTTTTGGCCTTAATTTCACTACAAAATAGTCTGGACCCAGCAGTATTTTAGCACCTTGTTAAAATTTAGTTGAGAAATTAACCAGCACTCACTTTTAGGGGATGAATTTGAAGACACTTTGTGCAATTCTAAGACTTTTTTAACGTTCAAAAGGGATTAGGCAGTTCTGTCCTTACATGTGTCAAAAAAATCTAAAAATTACACAAGGTGTCCTTAAATTTGTCTCAAAAAAGTTCTGTAAAATATATGCTTGTGTTTTAACCAAATGATCTCAACAAGACAGAAACTTCCTGACCACATGACCAACCTAATTGCGCAGAATGAGAGAACCCCGGTAGAAATATGGCATTTTAGCGATGGAAGAGTAAGAATTTTTGGCATAAAGGGTGGTTTTATTTTCTTGTCTTTAGGAAGGAGCGATCATAAAATTTGGGGAAAGACCAGCTGAATTTGAGGGTATGCTTGGAACTTTCTGCACCCCTGCAGCAAGTCTTGTTAAAAAGCGGAAGGGTTAATCTTTTGGTCTTCAAGTTGGTGAAGAAATTATTAGGACAGCCTTTTAATTTTTGAAGTATGCTAAGTTTTACCTGTAGGTGCTTGGATGCTGCTGAGAAGTCCATCGAACTCACAGACATGGACAACAAGATCATATCTTTATTCTTTAGCGCCAGATCTCTTCCCGGAGGGTGCTGCAACATATTGCTGAACACTCGCAGAGCGAGCATCCTGTTTGTATCTACTTGACTGGATAGTTTCTGATTGAGCGAGCTAAGAAGAAAATCACCGGTATCTTCACTGCACAGTGCACTGTTAACAGCCAGGTTTCTGATGCCTAATCGTGTGATATCCAACACTGGAAACACTAGTTCTGAAGAAGGAAAAAAGAAAATACGAAAATTGATTATGCAGGTTTTAAAGATGAAATTTTAATCATATTAATTATCTTTTAGTTGTTGTCGTAAAGGAGGGGTATCCATGGGGGCCGTTTTTGGACCCACACTGAAATTCTTCGATGCAACACTAGGGGAAAAAATGTATATCTATTCTGGTAGTTCCAAGTATCTGCATATACTGGAATTAAATAGCTAATGTAAAATTAAACTTTATAGGAAATTTCAAAGAAAAAAAAATTGAGACGGGTCGTTTATTTTATACACTTAGATGGATTTCTAAAAGATATATATATATGAGTCGCTTTTATAGCGCTCTTTGGCGCTGTGCGACGCCTAATCGCCACAAAGCTCGGTCTTCCCACAGGTCATCAGGGAGTTGACAATCTCTTATCTCATTTAATACCCCCTGTCGCCAACCTCTCACTGGGCGTCCCCTACGTCTCCTCCCAGGAGGAACCCAATCAAGCATCTTTTTTGGCAGCCTCTCTTCCATAAAAGATTCTAAAAGATTCTCTCCATAAATATGATTGTAGAAATACAGATTAATAAATAACATGATGATACAAACCTTCAGGCCACTGATATGCTACTTGAAGCACTGCGAATAATTCTGGTGTTACTGATGCTGGGCTATTTGCTATCTCGACTAATTTTGAAAGGCTTACAGGGTCCAACTTCAGTGATTCGTTTGTAATTTTATCATTGAATTGCACCAATTTATCTGGAAAGTTAGAGGGAAGGAAATTTCACATTACCTCAGTTTCGTAAACGTCTAAAAAAGGAGCCAAGCCAGGCTCCCTTCTCAAAAAAGATTCTAAGGGTTGCTTCATGACACAAAAATCAAGTTCCGTCATCAATTTTCTGAGAAAGAGTAAAATAATCAATTTTCAACATCATACTGAAACTCATAGAATACAACTACATTTCAACCCTGTCAAATTTCCTTTTGTAATTTGTATATTTACTTGGAAACTGGTATACATTTTTTACGGAAAACGTTACAGATTTTTCCATGGATTGGCAAAAATCAGCGCATCAAAATCATAGGATGGCAATTGCGCTGTCATTTTTGTATGACAAAATAATTGAGTATGTAGATTTTGCAACTGTAAAATGGAGATACATTTTTATTTATTATGACATACTTTAGCTATCATCAATTGACATCAAGTCATTTCTAAATTTACGCAGCAAAAACGAGTCAACTATGTATTTATGAGACCGATGAGCCAATTGGCGTTACCTAACTTTTTTGTATCCCACATCTGCCGGTTCAGGCACTTATTAGGCTGGTTCAGACCTACCTGTCTTGTCTCTTCAATGCAAACCATTTTTTCAAAGCATACTTAGCAAAAGATGTATTTTAAGATATAATTAATTCACAAAAGCCCACAAAGCCTTGATTTTTTAATTATGACTGGAGATAAAAGAAGAAAAAAAAGGATGAAACATGGAGGAAATAATATCTTGTATTGTAAGAAAATACTTTTTCTTGGTTTGCAGCACTTTTTAAGCTGGAGATATCTCTGACATAAAAAATGAAACATATATTGCCTTCTGTTCTAGACAGTAAATTACTTACCATTAATGAGGGATACATTTCCAGCTTCAAAACATAGGCAAGTTCGCTGAGGGAAGAACTTAGAACTTATTTCAGGCACTGTAATAGAAAAGAAAAGACAGGTTGAAAAATGGGTTAAATACAATGGTCATCAATATAGTTGGTTGATATAGTAATTAATATGACTGCATGTAATTACAAAGATTACGCATCATTAACATACTTTAACAAAAATTCTGAATCCTCTATTGACTTTGAACTTACAACTTACAACTCTTTGAACCAATGGTCATTTCAAAAGTCAAAGCAAAAAAAATTGACTTACATTTGAGCAACTAAACTACACTGTAGTGGAATCCGAACTTAAAGTGAGGTAAGTAAAACTAAAGTTCAAAGAACACTGATTGAAAAATATTCTAAGAGGCCTACCATTAGAAACAGAGCCACCTGGCACATAACGGCTACCTCCGGTGAACGGGTCTGTTTGAGGCATATTGACGGGGTTGCCAGTGGCACTTCCTCCAGGAATATACCGTGCTCCACCTGTATAAAAAACAACAGGAATAATTATTATAATTTTCCAACTTAAGGGAAATGTATTCCCTTCTACAGTATAAAAACTCAAAGAGTAATCACCTTCTTGCTGTTGGTATCAATGAAATGATACCTACTTTATGGAAAAAGGGTTGAGACTTGTCTCGTCGGGTAAAACCGTTCAAGTAGTGATAGTGTTAGCGACTTTATCACAATCAAATAAAGACTGAATCTTAAAAAATTGGATGAAATTGCTTGAACATGGGTCAACATGGGTCCGTGTTCACCTACTTAGTTTTGACTCCTCCACATAAAGATAAAAGATAATTATAGATGACTTTTACGTGTCCATTGAAATTGAAAATTTATCAGACGTCATGATTTTCAATAGAAGCAGCGGCTTTTGACAAATGAAATTTTTTTCCCCCGCCTTCCCATGGAAAATGATTTAAACATCGGTACAACAGGGGTGCAAAATCTTTTGAGCTTCTACATTTTCATGCACCTGCCATTTGGCTTTCTGCATTTTTCTCATTCACCATCCACAAAATTTCGCACCCATTTCAAGAGTGACGACCTTTTCCTTCTTCGACTTTTGACCCTTAAACATTTTCCCTTCTCTCGAATTTTCAGGGTCTTTCCACATTTTCACACTCCTTCCTAGGCGCATAGTTTTCTACATCCGTGCTGTACAGTAACAACTAATAGCGTTTTAGACATCGGTGTGCTCCCAAAAAATAATTGGTTGATTTCAATTGCTGCAGTGCACTGAGTAACGATAAACATTTTTTGGGTGATTTCACTTCGGGGATCCTGTAAAGACAGATCCTGCCTAGTTGTTTTCTTTTTTTGAAAGTTCTGTACAGTCAGAAAAATGACAGACTAACCTGTGAACGGGTCGACATATTCATAATTACTACTAGTAGGAGGTGGTGCTGGTTCACTGCCTTTGGCATTGTTGATGATGAAGTTGGCCACTTGTTCTAAAAACTGTTGGTTCAAGTTATTCTGGTGGATGAAATTTTGTGCTGCATGCCACGGATCATCTCCTTTGTTGTATGGGAGTTTTATAGCAGGCTTACCGTCTTCGATATCAACATCAAACACATAATCATACTCCTAAAAAATTAAAAAAAAAATAAAAAAATTTGGGCTTTAGATCTAGGGTCTCATTATGCAATTGATTTCAACTGAGAAGAATTCCATTTTCTTTCACGTACAAAAACCGTTCATTGTTTTTCAATATACTAATGGCTCGAGTCAAAAAATGCACCTCAATTTTGCAAGGTTTTAAAATCTCCAGTTATGCTATATTTTCTTTAATAAAAACCAACCAGATTACCAATTTAAAATTTATGGTTGAGTTAGTTGAAGGAGTGAAAAAACTCACAGAAAATTTCAAGAAAAATCGTTGATTAGTTTTTTTTTTCATAAAAATAAAACAAGTGGCAATTTTTCAACATTGCAATCAAAGATTCACATTTTTCTACTTCAGCCATCGATATTCAATTTTGTAGTTCGTGGAGTCTGTGCCAAATAAATTAAACTTACTTAGAGGTGTAACAAAAGACTAACTGTCTTCATAAAAGCATTGCGAGTAAATACAAGAATTAAAATGGTGAATTATTGACTACATTGACTCTCTCTTAGGGAAACATTGAGATGCAAAAAATGAAAATTATGGGTTTCATTTCTTGAGGAAAATTCAAAATATAATCATTGCAGCCTGAAACAATGGACTTCGTTGATTTTCCGCTGGGTTTGGAAGAAGTCAAGTTATTTAGTATTAATGAGAAATTCCTTGATTAAGGTCTATTGCATTAAAAATAAAGCAAAATAGAACATTGCATGCCTCAGATAGCAACGTTGTACGTCTCCATTCATGTTTATTTTTTTAAAGAAAAACTAAACAACAGTGTCTGTTCGAATTTTTTGGAATATTCCTCACGCAGTCTGCAGAGATCACAAAATTCCAAGGTGACATTCTGATTAGTTTTCTAGGACCAAAATAAAATACAATCAGAGACTTTTTAAACGCTGCAACTGAGGTTCACATTTTTTGCAATTTGCCATCCATATTTAGAGATGAATGTAGATCCAGCGAGGAATAGTCATACACCTTCGGTTGCACCGATGGCATGCTTAATCAATGAAACTTAATATTTAGAAAAGGGTGATGTATCAAAGAAAAACAATATTGGCAAAAAAGATGCATCAAATATGTAGGGCTTGAAAATCATGCATAAGAATTCAATTATTGGATTGCAGATAAAAATATGACATCTTAAGTTAATTTTACAATTGATCAAAGAGGAACTGGTCTGTTAAGTACATATTTACTCACTTTTCCCATATATTTTACTTTGCCAGGAGTGGTTGCTTCTTCCTTCCCATCATTTGTGCCCATAACATCACCAATCTTCGTCCATTCTTGACTAGAATTCGACCAACTGTAAAGAATCACTTTACCGTTTTCATTGATCATTTTGTTTTGTCCATCTTTGGTTCCCGGGTGGACAAGAACTTCAGGTCCTGGAAGACTGGAGGTGAGAACGTATATTAATAGATCGAAAGCGACCAAAGAGACATTCATGAAATAAAAATATAATTTAATAATGTTGGATGAAAACATTAGGGCATACATTTAATGCTGGTACAAAACGATAAACGCCTCAAACTCAAGAGAGGAAGAAGCTAATTTGGACGTATTTCTATCAAACGGAACTATGTGCATTATGACGTGAGCCCTGAGACCCATAAGAATACAAGCATAACAGGGCTCACGTCATAATGCACATAGTTTCGTTTGATAGAAATATGTCCATTTTACATTGCGAGCAGTGATTAAATGCACAAAACTAGACATAAGATGACTTACAGATTTTTTGATGTTGTTGATACAATCTCGTTTCTAAAGCTATCATAGCGAGGAGAGAGGGAGGGGTATAACCTGTAAGAGTCAGAGTTCCTAATTTACCTGACTACTAACTAACATTAATTAACGTTTTGGCACCTAAAAATGAGGGGTGAAAACCAACCGATGGTTTAAAAATTGGCGCAGCCTTGATTTCTATTTTATCGCTGTTCCCGTAAAAACTTCCTGCTGCATGTTCAGATCTTTACATGGCCCCTTAAATATTGTGGAAAGCGTCTAAAATTAAGTTTATAAAGCATTTGGCTTCTAAAATATTGGAATGAAGTTACAATACTTATAAAAAATGCACATGGTTTTAAACAACCTCATGACTCTAAAAGCTTCTTACATCCCAAAATTAAATTGAGAGTATCAAAAGCTAAGAAACAATACTGCTTACCAGACAGACATTTGTGGCAAAAATAAGTTAGCGGCTTTGCCGCATTCTACAGTATAAAATAGACAAGCTGACTTTTTTAACTTTTCGCAATTTTGCTTGGGAGCACTGCAATGATGCAGTAATGTAAACAAAAATTGCAAACCTGACCTCCAAATTACAAAAATGGCGAAGTCTTATTTTCGTTTTGTAAAGTCGTCAAGTTGTAGATAAATGGTACTGATTCTTAGCCATGGACATGCTGTCTACTTCTGATAGAGATAGAAGTAGTATAAAAACAATGAGACTTACTCTGCAACTTTAACACCGCCAATTTCTTTCTGACTTGAGATTCCAGCACTTGTGACTTCTTCGTTATAGGCTGCAAGAGTGGCTTCATCTGCTTGGCGACTTGGGTCTGCACTGAAAACTCTGACGATGCCATCACTAAATAATACAAATAAAAAATTACTGGAAAGGAATACCATCTGGTATGATAAAACAAAAAAGAAATACTTCCTTTGAAAAGTGATAGTAGAAAGGTCTTTAAAGTCCTTTTTCGATTTTCCAAAAATGAACAACATTTTTTTTTCATTGAAAAATGAATGCATTTTTTTTGGATGATTTTTTTTCCCAAATTTTTTTTGGAAAATCGGTAAAAAAAAATTCTATATCAATTTAATAAATATGACCAATAAAGTTAATAAAAAAAGTGATATTAGAACAGATGAAAGGAGTAGAACGGGATAGAACACACATTTTTAATAGGTTTCATTCGTTTAGTTTGTGATGACTAGACTTTTCAAGCAAGCAGACGTTTGGATAGTCTTTGATCTTTATCCTCCTGATGTCATTATCCTTTATCTGGGAAAATTTTTGAGAAAGAAATTCGTCTAGCTAGGTGAGTCACGAATAAGAGGAGGAGAAAACTCAGCAGAATTGTACCTGGAGCCTGTAGCAATGTCACCGTTGGGTAAGCAAACTACACACCAAACGCTTTGGGCTGGAAGCATTAACGACTGAGATTGACCTTTTTGCCAAATGTGGACATTTCTATCCTCACCGCTAGATGCAACTGTGTCTCCAAAAACAGACAAACTGTGAAACAAAAATAATGTAAGTCAGACTCAAATTCTCTTAAAATACAAATGTAAAATTGACAAAAAGATTATATTATAGAAAAAAAAATATTGTAAAGACTATCTGTCTTATGAGGAGGGCAGGGAGTTTCAAACTGCCAACCGTTTGCTGCGATCTGGTGTTTTTACCTCACAGCCATACTTTCAAATTACCTTACAGCTATTTACTTGATTTCATGGCAAAATGTGTGGTATTTGTGGGATATTGTGCGATTTTCCCCACTTTTTGAGATCCTTCTTTTTCTTGAGAAAAAAAAAATATGGTTGAGGTAGCCAGTAATAAAAATGTTTGAAGTTAAATGCTCCCTAAATCTGTAATCAATTGATCCTTCAATTTTTCGTAGGTACGTGCTTTTTGTTTTATGAATTGCACTTTATTTTTTACACCAGATTTGGATGAAAATAAGGAAAACAGAGGGAAACTGGAGAAGATGCTCACCAATAAATGAAATTTGGGTGACCATAAAGAGTTTCGAGACATTCACCAGAGGCAGCGTTCCATTGCTTAATAGTAGCATCATTCGAACAAGATAAGAATAAGGTGTCAGTGAGGGGTGCTAAATCTCTTACAACATCATTGTGACCTGAAAAGAAAAAAAGACTTGATTTAGGTACCCTGTACTAAACAGAAGTTTTAAGTGTATGATAGAGGATTAGACTAATTTAAAAAGTAAACTTGGATGAAGCATTATGATGGCATATGTCCGCAACCATGTATCTCGTTTGCTTTGTTCAAAAATCTCCGCCACTATATTATTTTCTGAAATTTTGCAAGCTTTTTGATCACAAATATAATTTGATTTCACAGAAACAATTTTTTAGGCATTTAGAGAAAACAGTTCTTGTTAGGAAGTTTCAAAATGTCGGCTGTTATTCATGATTCAAGCACTATTATTGGATGGTAAACTGTTCCCCAAAAATATCCTTTTACCAGAAAATTCCTACGAAAATTCCCACATTTCTAAAAACACAATGACAAGTTTCCTTGAATTTTAAAACTTCTCTACTTTACAAGGTTTTAAAGCATAAAATTTCTTGGTTTTCAAAGATTTTGAGCAGGAGAATATCTTTCAAGAAACATTAATAATAAAAAACTCAAGCTTTTCTACTAGAGAGAACGAGTGTGATTAGAGCCATGTAGAAGTTACATAAAAGAAAAATCAAGGGTTGATAGCAAAATTTTCTGACCTTGTGTGGTTCATAAAAATCTACTAACTTCTCTAGTTATTGTCTAACTTTTCAAGAACTTTTCATCCTGTAGGAATAGTTCATCGATTTTAAAAAATGTTTTATGATTGTTGCCAGTGCCAGGCATTTGTCTCCACTCATTCACTGCACACCCGGTTACCCTAACATTTAACGTGCAGAACCTGTTCGACTTATGCATGACCTTTCAAAGAGGATACTTAGTCACTCACCTACTAAGGATGCTTTGAAAGAGCCATCAGGGAGATGAACTCTGATGGTTTTGTCTGCTCCTCCTGTTATGATAATGCCGGAGGACAGTTGGATTGCACTCCATACAGCCGCCGAGTGCCCAGTGATGGTTAGAAGGGTTGTCTTGTCTTTCACGGACCAAAGTCTTGCAGTGGTATCCCAGGAGGAACTTACAAATGTGGCGGGCTGAAGTCCAGGCCTTAAGTTACAAACTGAAAATCAAGAAAAATTGTGACTTTGAGGTAACTTTGGAGGATGACAACATCAAAATGCCACACTTAAATTGACGATTAGGCCAATGTACACAACATAGGGCTTGTATCTTATATGAACAGCAGAAGATTAATGGAGCATGATGAAACGCATCACTTTTTTATGCTGGCTAGGTCCAAGCCCATTATTTGCATTCTATCGGAACACTTGGATTCTTCTTCCGCGGTAGGTTCCGAGCAATTATGAGCGATCCTAACTCAGCCGGAATGCAGATAACCCAATTCATGCACAATTTGGTAAAAACTCCAATTTGAGCTGCCCACTTTGATCATGGAATTCGACCTATATAGTGATCCATTCAATTTTATCGAGAGACTACAGAACTTGGTTACATACTATACATCAGTTAGGTATGCAAGTATTATAGTTTTAATCCTTTAGCGATTGATACAGCCATTGAGGGGTGATGCAGTCGTTTGCTTTGCAAAAATACACTAGCCTCATGCACATCAGTAATATAACTCACTGAAATCTCATTTTTGAAATTTTGGCCTTTTTGTCCATTGGCATATGATCGATTCAATTCTTATACAGAGAGAGAAAGAAATATAATGCATTGAGATTACCTGTGTTAGTGTGACCTTCCAGCTTTAAAATAGGATCAGAGCACTCTGGAGTGTAGACATTAATTATTTTATCGTTGCTGCCTGTCACAATGAGACCATCAGGAAAACCATCAGATGGCGGCAATGCACAGATGCTGCTTACAAAATTTCTGTGGCCATGCAGAGTTTGAACATCTGAGTATACTGCATTCAGTCTGGAAGAGGATAAATAATAAATTAGCTCTTAACGAACATCATGAATCATTTTGGAAAAGAAACTTCTAATATGTTGAGGTATTTATTTTCAAATACTTCGCAAAATAATAAACACAAATTGCTTACTTCTAAGTCTATTGTCCTTCAGGATGATTATAAACGAGGAATAAAATCACCTAACTAGTAAGCAATGGAATACAAAAGTTTACAACAGAAAAGTTCCAAGTGAAATCAAAAGCTTATGAAGGAGAAAATCACAGGATCTAATCTGAAAGTTTGGAACCGAAAGTTAAATGTAAGGAGCGACACAAGAAATGAGACTCAGGATGAAAATCAGGATGGTTGCAGAATATTTAGAAATTAATGGGGGAAATTATAATGATAAGAACACATCAGATATGATAGGGACTAAAGAGGAAAAAGCACTGACCATTTGATTAGAATTTTGAGGAATATATTTTATCCTTCATACTAAGGATTAAAAAGTGGATTTAAACGTCATTTAAATAGATGACTTGGTTTCCAACACATTTGTCAATCTAAAGCAAGCTCTGAGTCAAAACCTTGATACAAGCACTATTTAAGGCTCATAGACAGAGAAATCCGACAACCGTAATGACGACAGATGTCAAGATTCCTCATGTCCTCTTGGCGTTTCGGCTACAATGAGGAATTGGTAGAGTTTCTTAAGCAAATTAGTTTCAGATGTCTAAGTATAACACTACAACACCTTCTTCAAAGTAAATTTTAAATCAAATATGAGGGGCTTGGTGGACAAGGTGCGTAAGTGCAGTTGTTGCTATTTTGAGAAATGCATGTTTGATGTATTGAAGTAACATGGATCCCAATGGCGGAAAGAAAGTTCAGACTGACTTTTCGATGCTTGAATATTGGAATTAGGGAGTGAATTTTTCACAGAATAGTCATTAAGACTAGTTTAACTTGAAATCATTAATACCTCAAATTTTTCAAAAACTGCACTTATGCACCTTGTCCTCCAAGCCCCTCATATGTTTTCACAAGTAGTACTTGCTTTGTTCCTAGAACTAAAGTACCTGCCATAACCTAACATACTTTGAGTTAAAGAGATAAAATTAACTACCTCTACACTGCTAAATTTTTATGCATTCGAAGGGATCTGAAAATAGTTGAATCATAAGAGCAAAACAAGAGATTGAGAAATGCATTCAGGCTTATCACAAAAAATGTGAAGATTAGGTAGATGATGAGGAGGGACATGAAAGGACTGTACTCAAATAAAGCTCCTCTCTCTAATAAGGGATGACAAATTTCCGCACAGGAAACTTTCCGATCTGTGTGCAGCATTTCCTTTGCAGAAAAAGGTCTGACGAAAGTTAAACAAAGTGTGTTACATGATAACGTTGAACGGGCAAGTCCCAGAATGAGTAAGCGAAACGCATAACTATAAGACTTGCTGTCACTTGGAGGGTTAACGCTTCAGTTAAGTAAACAATAGCGACGAAATAACGTGGAAGAATAGGCAAAGAGAGATTGTATTCAATTATTAGGTAAAATCTTACTCATTAGGTTTCCAAATTTTGGCCGTCTTGTCCCGGGAAGCTGAGACAATGCACCCGTTGTGAGTCGCCGCTAACGCTCTCACATCTGCTGTGTGACCGTACAAACAAACACTCAGTTTATACTCCATTATAATGCAAATTAAATTAAAGTACACTTAAATTTACAGTTTCCACCAAGTTGAATTGCTGATAATCACGAACGGTAAACTGATTAGACAAAAACAGTTTGAGGTTGGCTGATTTTGTAAACACTAGGAACACCGGTGGCTACCCCCGAAAACGAACCAATAACTGTTGACTATGTTCTACGCGCGGTATTTGAAAACGTCGCGGAATTTTTCGTGAGCGCAAGTCCTCAACCGGATTGCATTTGGACATTTGGACGTATGTACCTACTTTAACTATAAGGAGCTATGACAAGTTTGACTTGAGTGTCACAGTCTCCATATTTGTCGATTCTGAAACAGCTGCAAAAATTTATTCTCAGTAGGGTATAAATTTTATCAGCTTTTATGAAATGACCGAAAAAAGTCGGAAATCTATTTTAAAACGACGAATAATGATAACACAGTAAGTCGGCAATCACATAACTTAGAGTCCCTTTATACTGAGAGTCAAGACAATTTGAATCCATTTCTGATTGGTTCCCGTATTTTAGGCCTCCACAGTGTCACAAACGGGAATAAAGATTACATTTTCACCAATTGCAAAGATTATAATCTGGAATGGACCAGGGAATTACGGGTTCGGCAAGGAACAAACGGAATGAGAGGAGGAACGGAGAAAGGCATTTGAGAATGGGCCGATCAAAGATTACGAAAAACGTTCAATTTCTGTAATCTTTATTCCCGTTTGTGACATGCATGAGCCGAATTGTCTTGACTCTCAGTATAAAGGAACTCTAACATAACTCGGTTTGTGACGTCGCAGACCTCCGGCAATACTTTATTTTTTAAACGGAAAACTACTCAACGGTCATTCTTTAAAACTGCCGTGATTTTTCTTGTCTGTGCGAAAAAGATTCTGTATAAACCTCAAGGAGTGATGTCAATTTGTTCTCTTTTACAGAAATAACATGGAGGCGGAGTTTTTCAGACACCGCAAACGAGATATGCGATTGCGGACCTACGCTGCGCCGTCGATATTTCCCGCTGGGCGCAAGGTGGGGTATCCGCAATGCGTGGAGTATTCATGCAGTCTTGCAGGCGCTGAAATGCGGATCGCGCCGAACGCAGCGTCTAGCACGATCATTCCAACTCGCACAACGTTTTTCAACTTGTGATTTTGAAGTTTTTTGCACAGGTACACTCTGTCCATGACTATGTACTATGTTCCATTTGTCATTTAATCTGATAAAATATTAAAGCACTCCTCACTCAAAATCCAACTTTTCTTTATTTTCGTATCGATGACCAAAGTGCGAAACCACGGATCTCCGTGTACGGCATTGCAGAGTTCCCGTCTGAAATTTTTATTTTTTCTTTGAAAAGCTAGTCAATGTCTTTAGCCACCATCGCTATTCTTGCGCCTGTGTGCAACCACAAATTAGGGGCTTGGAGGACAAGGCACATAAGTGTATTTTTTGCTGTTTCGAGAGATACGAGTTTGAAGTCTCGAAATTACATGGATCTTTATAGTGGAGAAAAAATTCAGACTGACTTTTTGATGCTCAAACATTTGACTGAGGGAGTGAATTTTTTTATAGAATTTTACTTGAAATCATTAATATCTTAATGTTTTCAAAAACTGCACTTTCGTGCCTGGTCCTTCAAGCCTCTCAAATATCGTAGCTGATAGACCAAAAACATTTATCATCGAAAACAAGATTTTTCCGGAGAGTGAAAAAACTTCCTAACTTCCTCTCATCAGACAATACAAACGATTCGGGGGGGAAAATACGAAATCGATCAATTGATTACGTATAATTTCATTGACCGTTTGTCCTTAATTATGGTTTAAAATGGAGGTATGACAAGTTTTAATCGCTGATGCCAGGAACACTTATCTCCGTTCTGGGTGTCACTATTTAGTTCCAAAAACACGTAACCACGTATTTCATCCTGTATTCCGAATAACTGCTATAACACTATTTCGTTAAAAACGTCAAGGGACTCAGAAAGTATTCCATCCTTGATATTTTCACCGAGTATATTGTCAACTGGAAAGAAGTCATAGGACGTTTTTTTCATTTCCTGAAAAATCGTATTTACGGAGATACGTGCTTTTGGTCTGTCACCCGCGATATTTTCAATTGCTTCAGTAAGAAACGACCCTATTGTATCCACACTATGGTGTTGATACGACCCGCATGCATGCACGAATAGTTGTATGGCTCGCTAAAAAGAAGGCGCCGAAGATGAGATGCAGAGTTACGGGTGCTTGCGCCGTGCGCGCTGATAGTGCCTGCAAGACTGCATGGATACTTCACGCATTACGCGTAAGCTCCTCAGCGAGCCGCAGTCAAGTCGTCGCCACTCCGCGTTTCCCGTCTTGTGTAGTTCAAAGTGTAGACAGCGTGCATCAGTTGAACTGTTTGCTTAACGCTTGGTATGCGTTTGACTCAAGTTTTTCTTATGAGCATGGATTTTGAATTTATGAATCAGGAAACGTGATAACTTGGTTGGTAGTTGCTTTCAATAATTTTAGTTTTACAAATCATGTTCTACGTTCACAGCGAAGATAGACTCCTCTAACGTGTGCTGATGCTCGAGTAAATTCAAATAGGAGGGCCATTCGCACCAGCATGTAATGAGTGCATAAAATGATGATCGGTCTTTCTCTTACGATTAGTACTCAAGAAAATTCAAACTTGTTTTGTCTCTGCACCTAAGCCTTGAAACATCGATTCAACGTTTCGAAAATATACTCTGACAAAACATCTGTGTTGGATCCAGATGGTCCTAATGGATGATCGTGTTGCATACGCACGAAATGGCAGGCGTTTTAACTGTTCAAGCACTCACCGCTTCACCCGCGACTCACAGTGGATCGACCCCCTGATATTATATGATGACACCAATGTCTGAAGGTCCCTCGCGGCAAATTATGGTTTTAACTTTGAATCCTTCCATAATTTCAATTGGACCATCCTCTCTAAACAAAATTACCCAACTACGAATAGGACATGGCAACTTCCAACTCACAATTTCAAAATAAAACTAGAGCCCACAGACCGATTCAAAGGCAATGAACACCCTAGAATCCTCAGCCAACTTCTTCTTAAATGCGAACTTAATGAAACTAATCTTACTGATCAATTATTTTCCCGACAAATTCCACAACGCATCTCTCTTCTCCACTCTCAAAACTTCCTAGTCTATAAACTCATCCTTAACTTCATGCTCCGCAACAAAATTCAAATCGAATTCCCAAAGTAAACACACAACCCCCCCCCCCCTTCTTTTCTACATTCCCCTTTAAAACTCTAAAACCCCAGTAACTCCTTAAACACATACATCCTCTTTCCAACAGCTCCCATACAAGGTTGCAGTGCCCCAAACACGGCAAAAAACCTGAAGCAACTTAAAAAAAAATTTGAATCCTTAAGGTGATTCGACGGTTGCCATTTTTTGTGTGAGAGCGACGTGCGAATCGCACGTCGCTCGCACCGTGCGATGTATCCCATCAATTCGTTTCATAATTTCAGCTACTTGTCATTTTTGCCGAATTTTGAGATCGCACTTCTGTTGTCATGAGACCAAAGAATTAATGTAACAAATTTGACAAAGAATGTCAACGTAATAAAGGCAGGGTTTTTTTTGGAGGAAAAATATTGCATTTGATACTGATATCGAAACTGCACTCGAATGCGATATTTTTCCCCTGAAAAAACCCTGCCTTTTATAACGTTGAATTTCTTTGTCAATGGTACATGAGTTCTTTAGTCTCATGACAGCAGAAGTGCGATCTCAAAATTCGAAAAAAAATGACAAGTAGCTGACATAATGGAACAAATTGATGCGGTATATCGCACGTCGCTCTGACACAAAAAATGGCAACCGTCGAATCTCCTTGACGTACGTTTGAGAGTTGATTCTATAGAAAACCAATATAATTTCCAGGAAATCTCGCGAAGAATATCTGCAGAAATCGTAAATCCCAATTTGAAATTTGAAAGCTAATCCACACTGAGGATTGGGCATCTTGACTACATTGCCGAGACGAGGATGTCTAAGACAGCGTGCTCTCGATTCGATGAATAACAAAAACTCCTCGGCCCAAGATCAAAGAAGTTGGCGTTTCTTCGTAGGAAGCGAACAATTCGCAGCATCTTGACTTCCGCTTTCCACGGCACTGGCTCAAAGATTCCTTCCGATGCACTTAGAACGAGAAATAGAAGCAACGACGCCGTCCTGCCTCCATCGTCTTGAGTTCAAGAGGGAAAACAACGCATATTGTTTCGAAAGTCGCTGAAGCTTTTTTGATAGAAATACGGATTGCCCGGTAATATCTTGGGTCCTTGGTAAAATTTGGCAGAAGGATCTATGACCCAAAATACTATAGACCTACAGCCGGCAGTAAAATTTGCTATAGCCTCCATAGCCGGTTATACGATTTCTTACAGCCTTTTATAGCCGATGGTGATAAACTGCATAGCCCGGCGATAGGAACAACAACCCTGCTGTATAATTTTTTATCGCTTCGCCCTGGTAAAAATTTGCAGTAGAATCTCTGTTCCAAAATACCATAGACCTACAGCCGACTGTAAGATTTCTGTCGCGTCCGTAGACGGAGTGAAAAAGAGGGTTCGGAGGACCGTGAAAAAGAGAAGGAGAAAACGAGAAAAAATAACTAAAAAGAAAGAAAGAGGATCATCTCGGGGACAGAACCCAAGGCAACTAGGCGCACCGCGTACCTAGGCATCCCACCACGAGAAGAAGAAAGGAAAATACTGAGACAATGATACAGACAGGAGAGCAAACAACGAATAATAATAACTAAAGGGCAAAGAGGAAAATAAACTTCCCAGGGAAAACCGTCCTGGGGAAATGAGCTTCCCAGGGAAAACCGTCCTGGGGCAAATAGGGGAATATGCGTCCCTAGGGTCTTCTCAGGGTATGTGCTTCCTGAGGAAAATGGAAATCATACCACGGAAAAACGTCGTGGCGAAAAGATACCTACAATGAGAAGTGACGTCGAGCGTACCGCGGGAGAGACGAGATCTGCTGCGCCGGCTGGAAGCTGAGTGCTGGCCCACTCGTCCACGGGCTGCGGTCCGGCCACCGCGAGGCATGGTTGCGCAGAAAAG